CAAAAAGGTCTATTCCATTAATTCTAGGTTAAAACCTCCCTTTCAAATAACTCCAGACTACAAGTTATTGGCGCTAACCAGAAGGTGATCTGGATAATCAAGAAAATCTACATCAAGAATCATGAATTTCATATTTCCAGATGCTAGCAGCTGCTCTACAGGTATTAGAGGCTGTTCTCACTGACAGTGGCAACTTTTGGCTTGATACTAGGCTGTATAAATCCTGAATGAATCTTGCATAGAATAAATAATTCATGTACCACAGTTAATCAGCTACTCATGAACAGTACATCTGTTCGGCACTTTTACTGAGGAAAGTAAAACTTGATCAGTTTCAAAAGATGAAATATCAGGGAGAGAAATAACATTAAAGAAAGAAAATCAAAACTAAAGAAAGGTAGTAGAAGTTCATCAAAAATAAAACAAGAATAGATGTAAAAAGGAGAAGAATTAGGCTAAAGGAGTCAGAGGAAACTTGGCACCCAAATCCTCCAACATTTTAATGGAATTTTAACTCCCTCAGATTCCCTGTGAAAGTGTGTGCCAAAAAGAAGGAAATGCTGAATCTAAATCTCCCAAAAGGAGAAGAAAAAGATGCATTCCAAAATCCAAAACAGGGCTTCTGTAAAAAGAACTCTGGATCAGGAACATAATTTCAGAAGTGAATCTCCCAATCATCCTCACTTCTTGCACTTTGGTTTGCAACATAACGAGGTCTCAGAATGTGCTAACTGGATGAAAGCAGACCAAAATCCACTTCATCCGCTCAGAATAATACAGTTCATGAGATCAAACTGGAGAAGGGCCTACGGAAAACCTCTATAGCATACATAGTGTGTATATTAGGTCCTAAGCATCAAATCTAGTCAACACACCCACTCTTACTGTGTCACACTACCGGTTAATGTAAATGTTGTCTAACTGAGCCTCAGATCAGTGAGTAGCCTCAGCAGTTCTGGTATGTTTTCCTTGTTCTCCAGCTAAATTAATTATGTGCAACAGTTTCTGAAGATAAAAATAGGATATTATGGTGTTAGGAATGTGCATGGTTGTTAGGTCTTTTAAATGCTTGAATGCCCCTTTCCAACAGGATTCATTATATGAATATTGACTGCTTAATGACACAATCTCTGATGTAAGTTATAAGACATCATAAAATTATTTCTAGTCAATGCAAGTTACCAAACCCTGGTTATAGGATGCAATTAAAACTCGGAAGAGAAAAGAGAGCTCAGCATTTTCTAATAACATTCCAAAATAGTCTGCAAGAACGGAGAATTATTTCTCACAACTCTTTCTTCTAGCTCTTCTAGTCATTTTGAGAGGACAAAAGCATCATAAATGAGAAAGAGAGGGAGTCTTCTGAGGAACTAAGGAAATCAGAAAAACTAAGTATGTTAGTTTCAGTGTTCTTCAGTCTTTGAAAGCAGTCACAAGAAATAAACAGACTGTGCACGTACAACTACTTTAAGAACAAAATAGATGCAAATAAATATAGAATAATATAGAATTTCAGGATGAAGTCTTGAAATCTGTCATTTTAGGGAAAATGATATGAGGGACCAGAACAAACTTTATGCCATTTCTTAGGTGAAAATAGTCTAAAAGTTGAATTATTGATAATCATAGTGGACTGTACATAGCATAAAAATATGCTAAAATGTTTTCTCAAATACTATCTAATAAAACACGAAATTATAATAGTAGAATGCTTTCTAAGTGCATATACAGAATTTTAATATCTTAAATTTGATTGCCATCAAAGTGGTTTAATGCTACAGCCAGTTTTTGGAAAGTATTGCCTTCACAATATATACGTTTATCAAATATATTTTATCTTGCCTTCCTAAGTGCTTGGAAGAATTAATAAATACATGTTTTACATTAATACAAAGTCAGGAGGGAAAAATTAAATAGATAATCTCAGAGACCTCCGTAAAAAGGGAAAAGAGATGTACAAGGAACAGGTTATATGTCGGCTCTAAAATAAAGAAATTTCTAAATCTAGCCTTTAAAATTTACGCTGAAATGTGAAGAGAGATATCTAAAAAACTAGGTTCTGCCAACTGCCCCCTTTACTGTTCCGGTTTGATGCTAGGCCAAGTCATTCATAGCAGGCAAGCTTATAGAGCTCCTGGAACATCACCTAAATATGCTATGTCATAAAGTGCTAAAATTGCAGGTTGGATATAAAATGGGATCACAGCTTCAGTAGTAGGAGCAGGTGTAATAAAATAGCATGGGTTGCTGAGAAACAGTAACAAGCAGTCCACAAGACTTATGTCGCCACTGATTGTGAAGCCCAGGCAGGATAAAAAGGACAGCCTACCAGGAGTAACAATTGCACAGCATGCCTAGTATTTTTGTGTTCTTTGTAAAAGTATGATAAAATACGATTCCAAGATTCTTAGCCTTCCTCCTGTTTTCTCACTATATCTCTCCCTTCAATTTTTGCATTCCTGAAAACAGGGTCACTGAGAAAAAAATAAGTAATTAATAAGCAACAAGCACTTTTTTTTTTTTGAGGAATGTAAATGTGGCTCAGAAAATGATCATATAAAATCATATTCCACAAGTGTAGTAAGAAGAAAATTTCATTCCGGCACGCTTTCAGAGTATTCTTTCTTCACTGTAGGTAAGGAGGGGATGCTGTCTTTGTTGCAACTGCACCCCAAGATCTGTGTATCCACACCTCATACACTGTTAGGTATGGGGAGAAAGAATTATGGAATCTTTCCATAAAAATGATTCTTAACATGATTCCATTGTCTCTGAATTGTGAATGAAAACAGGTGCAAAACAAGCATGCATTCACCAATATTACTATCTCCCAATAAAAGAGATCAGACTGCAGAATCCTCAGAGAAGAAGATTTGCATCAGGAAAATATTTAAGATATAAAAGAGTAAGTAGTGGAAAGCATAATTTATAAAGATTGCTTTGTGCTCTACTATATCTGCCGAGTGATTGCTCCGTCAGTTTTACTAGGCACTTAAGGGGAAATTAGATTGCTCTGGGCAGCTCCTCACAACCTCTGTGAAAAAGTACAAATAATCTTGTGACAACAGTTACATCTATATATATACCCATATAAAATATACATATAAAAAAATGATATCATGTCCAGATGAATTCTTACACCTTCTTTTTGTTTTAAATCCTTCTTGCTAAATCACCTAGAAATATTGTTGAGCCATGGTAAACCCCAAGCAGAGAAAAGAAAATCCAGGAACTGCAAGGTCTGCCACAGTTTCTATAACAAAAGGGTGTAGTCAAGTATACCTTCAGGAAAACCTCAATATCCCTCCATTTCATTTTTTTCAACTCAGGCCTTTAATTTGAGTTAGATATTATTTCTTCACAGGAAATAGTATGGTTTAATATGGTATCTGCATTAATGTATACCTCTAGCATGCACAGAAACAGACTCTCACACATACAATTGCATGAGACACCAGAAAAGCAAAATTATTTCATTTGGTATATACCTTAAGATTTGAACAATTTATCTGTATGCTTTGAGATTAGAAAATATAACTGGTAAGTTATCCGCAGAAATAAGAAAAAGATTAAAATATTCTGTATAAATACCCATCTATACTTCTGCAGAAGATGAAAATCTCTTTATGAATAGCTTGTAATGATTAAAATCTTCTAAATTATAAATTATATATTAATCGAAGATTCGACTGTAATACTACATAAACTGAATAAATAAATTGCTATTATATGCAAGTCATAAGTAAATTTTAGTAAAATTACAACAGTAAATACAATTAATTATTTTCCTATCCTATATCAAATCAGCTGTAACCAACAGTGTCATTTAAAATTTGATCCAACAATTAAAACCAAATGATCTAATTCTTTTTGAGATGTTCAGTTTTATAGTTTCTAGACTTTATTGTCACATTTGAAACTATCAGGAACAACATAGGAAAATATAGACAAGAGTAATTTGCAATAAAACAATTATCTTAGAAAAAACAGTTGAAAGGACTGGCAAGCCTGAAGAAAGAGATAAGCATATCTAGAGCTGAATAACTGTGAAATCTATTTCCTACCTTATTTTCTGTGAATTCAGTAAAATAACAGTAGTTGCTTAATTCATTTATTCTTGGAAATTCTTATCCCTTCCATTTCTCCTTAACTGATCATTCCAACTAGCAAATATTTTATTTTACTAAGGAATTTCTTAGTAATTCCATACTTTTCCTTTCTAGTATTTCAGATGTTTAGGAAAGTATACTAGGTGCAAGGTTAATTGATAAAATAAGTAAACTGATAACAGTTTAAATAAATTAAAGACTGCTTTTCAAGTGTATTAACTTGCACTTGTTGAAAAAACACATTTTCATTAAAAAAAACTTTTAAGAAGCTCTTCAGGTTAAATTTACTTAAGAATTTTAAGAATTGATGCTGTTTCACCTAATCGTTCACAAACTTTCTTATAATGTTGCTGCTCATCTTGACAATTCCAAAATATAATTTTATTTATTTGAATTTAATCTCTTAATTCAAAGCATTTCCTTGGAATAGATCAAGACTGCATCACTGTATGGACTCATTCACCCTTTGTATATTACACTTGCAACACCTCCTGTGAGGTCAGTTTCCCATACACTAATTTCTTTTACACAACATCATCACAACCAACATTTGTGCTTTGGTGATAAGATACTATTTATAAATGAAAACATATTTCAAAGTCTAAGAAAATCAATGCAGGGGTGAAGAAAAATAACTCTGCCTAAAATCAGCACTACACAACTGAGAAGAACCATTACTGAAGGTACATGCAATTATTAGTATTTTTTTTAAGTAATACGTACAAATGTCATTGACATGGGGCTAATTCTTGTTTCTACAGGAGTCAGATTCATTCAGCGCATTAACTGGAAGAGTTCCACTCATTAGAATTGTACTTACACTCTAGATTTCAGGGACCATAAAAGATCACAGCTTGTAAAAATTCAAAGTAAAAACATGAAATTACATACCTCGTGTCTGTTTGAGCAGAAGATGGAAAGCAGATTTCTTACAGACAGGCTCAGGTAGGACAGATTCACTGAGCTGATGACTGGACTGCTCCTGATCTAAAGAGGAAAAAAAAAAAAACCAAAACCGTCAGAGAAATTTATTTAGAGGTTGAAATTGACTGAACAATTTTCCTAAAAAAAGAACTTCATACATGGAAGTTTTTGAAAACCTGCTTTCAAATGGGAGCTCATAAGATTTTTTTTCCTTTGCTTAACGATACTTTTTCTTACTGTGCTGAAGATAAGTATAGATATAATATAGAAATCTCCTTATATATCATTATAATAAAATAAGAAATTATTAAGAAAAAAGCCAAAGACTGAATCTTTTCAGTTAAAATATACCAAGGTTACAAAGAAACTGTTTGCTAGATATCAAAATGGCAAAAAAACTCATAGTGTTATGAAATGTGTAAGAGAAAGCTTGAAAACGGGCCCAAAACCAGTAGTACTGTAACAGCAGCGGACAATAATAACTGCTCTCTTGATGACAAGTTATTCAATCAATCAACAGATTAGTTCATGCAGATAGAAGATCAGACCATTTTTGTGGTTGTTTTCACTGATTAATGTCAATGTTGTAGATAGATAAATGAAAAATGAGATATGAAAAACTGGTTTGAAGATGCAAAGGTTTATAAATATGTAAAAGTGTTTTGGAGCCGTGCAAGCAGTCAAAGGTCTCTAGCTAAAAGATTCAACAATTGTAGGAAATATCTTGTAGGAAATATAGGTAGTAGTTAACTCTAAGGATCTGAGCCCAATAGATATATTGTTGCTGATTAATATGTCATATTAAAGGGCAGTGGCACTAAACGATGAACTGCTGAGAATAAGATATGATACACGTGCATGCATCAGACAGCCTGGGAAAGACTGCCACGTGGGGTTAGAGAACAAAATTAGATTAGATTTGAGGGACAGAACAATGAACCAAGGTGTCCAATAAGCTGAGAAAAAGCCCTCCTGGAAATACCAACCTTCCTGCCCCTTTTGAGAGGACAAACAATTCTTATTCATAATTCTCATAATTCATAATTCCTTCACCTCAGGAACAAAGTTTTAGGTTTTGCAAACCAGATTAGTCTGAGAAGTTTTAAATGAAATTTGCAATCTACAGGGGACTACTTAAAGAGTATCTTGGAAATAGAGTAAGTTTCAATATCAGCCAGCTATTTAATGTGACTGTGAATGCGCCATTACCAAAAGTCATCTCAAATACTGCCACATAGATCAGTTTTGATAATGCAGAAAATGCTGGATTCCAGAGAAGGAACAATTAACCTCCCTTATCCAATTCCTAGCTACCTTTGTTGCTTTCATCTTTTATTTGATCATGACTCTTGAACCTTTAAGGTGAATATCCTGTAAAAAACAGTTGCACTTTTTTCCTGAAACTTGGAAATACATTTGGCCCACTGAACACATTAATTTAAATTATCCACGTCAAATAAAGTAAAGCATTCCAGGTATTAACTAACTACTAATACTTAGGTACAACTTTTACACAGGTGCACTCTGTGGTCTGGTCTACTTTGGTGACTTTAGTAGTATCAAACATGTATCTGTTTAGCTACATCCATAAAATTTTAGTAGAAAAATTAGGTAGTGGATTTTATACAAGAATGACAACATTCAACCTGAAACAGTTGAACTAGTACAAATGGTCACTAAATGATGTGTAGAAAGAGTTTGCATACTCTGTAGCTCAGATCATTGGCTCAAACGGGGGAAAATTCTCTTCTGTCAGATAAGCATGATTACTCGCATGAGCATTCTTAATGTAGCTATGAAAGTTTATGTAAATAAGAGCTTCCTAAAAACTTTCATAAAAACTCATTGCTATTAAATTCAATAAGAAAATACCAATAAGCTGTAGGAGGTCCAGGATTTCATTGCTTCATCACAAACTATCAGATAGTGTTAGTTTTACTTGCTCTGTACTTACCCAAAAATCAAACATTGTTTGGGCTACAATATCATTGAAAATTCACATGAAGAAGCATTTCTTAGGAATAATGCTCTTATGTTTCACAAAGTTTCAGAAATGAAAAGGATAACTTCAGATATGGCACAGCTATGATATTTCCCAATTAATTTCTATTTTAACTCCTGAACTATAGTGTTTTAAACACAATTTCGCATCTACCTATCTATCTAGCGCAGAAGCTGCCTATAGAATGTTACTTGAAAACAAGATACTGTTAACTTCGGAAATCTTTAAAGCATTAAGTAAATTCTATAAATGTTGATGTTCGTTGCTTGTACACTTTAACTGAGATGCTCTATTTCCCTTGTGACACTTTTAATTCTTTTAAGAAGTGGTATATGGCCTGAAACACAATTTGTAAAGAGCACGATCAATCCAAGGTTTCCTTCTGCCTGCTAACTTGCTACTTTCTGGCAGTTTCCCCCTTCTGCTCTCTCTCTGGCCTCCAACAGCACGGGCAATGAGTGTGACAAATCCAATGCAGGATTAAATAAAGGAATGCATTCCAGGAACAAGATTCTGTGCTAAAAAAGTGTTTTTTAAATTATTAAACCTACAATTTCAAGCTCTGTTGTGAGAGAGATTCAAAAATTTATGTTAATTTAAGTTACCAGATGACATTATGGTCATTTCTACTCTTTGGATTAACGTTTTTGAGGAAAATACTTTTTTTTTTTTTTTAAGGAATTTTTAGGCTGTCAGTCTCCCTTCAAAGATTAAATTCAGACTAACTTATATCTCAAACTTTAAGTAAATTCCATGGAAGGTTACTGTTGTTATGTTTGAAGTAATATTACTATCATTCCTAATTAGCTTGTACTTTCCCAAGTGTGTAGTTGCTTTGTTACAAGAGATCCAAGGACAAAGATAGACACTTCATGTCAAAATACATTAATAAAGTGTAAAGCATCACAACATGGGTAAGAGATCTCTATAACTGATATAAGCAGAATCAATGGAAGGAAAAAAAATCATAAGGAACTAATAGAAGACCAGCTTCATGTCAACTGAATTTCATTTTTTGGTAGAAAAGATCTACCACAACACTTCCTATTACATGTTCTTTATATAGCTGAAGTATAAAGTTCATGGAAGTAAACTGACTGTTTTCAGTCAAACCCGCAGTATTTACTATACCCTACAACAGGCAGAAATGGCTGGCACAATAGGATCCCAAAAGCTATGTCGGAATACCAGTCTTGCACTGATATGCTTACCACTAAGGATAAAGAAAAGTAGCTTAAATTAAAAATAATTAATAAAACAATATAAAGGGATATCTTTCAGAAAGAAACAGTGATATGTAACAAAGTGTAGGCAAAATGAATCACAAGGCTTGCTTATAATTTCTTGCTCTTAATAAAATGTAATTTTTTGGAGATATATGGAACCAGGGGGGTGGAAAAAAAAAAAAAAGGAAGGTTACTAGAAATAATGTATTCATTTTAGGATTATTTTCTAACCTGACTGATTAGTCTTGTGGGATGGCAAATTTATTCTTAATGTTGCAAAAAACAGGTTAATCAGCTGAACACTGGGCTAACGTATCTGTACTGCTATGGCACCTACAGTGAGGTGCCATATATATGAGTCAGTATATTAAATATTTGAGTCAGTATATTAAAATACTATTTGCTTCCTTTCCAGGTAAATGAAGTCTTGGTAACATTAAAATTCAACTAAATTTATATGCCATTATGGAAATTTTTTTCCAGGACATGTAAGGACTAGAAATACTAAGCTGAACTGCTGCATCATGACATTGCTTCTAAGACTAGATTTCTCTTCCTCTGAAAAGATTGAAAGTAGAGTTATGGCAAATATTTCTACAAAGAGCAAGTAATAGCATGTACAACTACTTCTGAAGACAGCTCAAGTACATAATGCAATCATCTTACTGTGGCTAAAACAAGTAAACATTATTTACAGGTCACCAGTGACAACTGAATTAGAAAATTAACATTACAAACTAATCAGATTAACAAATTCAAAATAAACTTTGGAGGATAAGTATGGTCTGAGTTCCATAAAGATCACAGTAGAAAATTTATTTTCTCAGAGAAAACTTTTAATAACTGCACTGCAGATCACAGAATATTAGATCATCATCATGTCAAGTCTACTGATGTGTAAGGAAAAATGAAGATTGGAAGCTTCTGATGCATAAAAACCAACATTAGTCTTTCACTGTCTAAGCTAGTTGCCTGTGCACTGTCTCTATTATTGAAAAATCTCCCTAGGACAAATTAATGTTCTGTAGTTAAAAAGACAACTTTTTTTTTTTTAATATTTAAACAAGGCAGTTTCTGCAAACTTAGGATAGTCTCTCTGTATATTATATTTCAGTAGTTTACCCACATTTAATCTCTGTAAATCATTTTTGATGGGATTGTATCGTAGAGAAGTTTGATTGTTCTTTTCTTTTTTTTTTGGTGAATAGCACATTAGATTAGCATTTTTAGAAATAGTACTTAATAGTGTTAGAGTACTAAGCTATGCTATTTGGCACTGGATTTATGCCCAATGTGCCAAGCAGCTTGCTTTTCATAATTGCCTCTGCTGCTGTACAAATCAGAACAGAACAACTTCCATTTTACACTAGAATAAACCATGCTGCCCTCTATAAGGTGCAATGGGAAACTTCACGTCACACATGTAATGCACACCTTCTACATTTCATGAAATGCTATAAACAATTAATTCCTGATCAAATAAGGCTGGCTGCACACCTAGTACTTCATTGTGCTTCTGAAAGTTTCTGGGCTAAGATAAACTAATGTAAAGGGGAGATGGAATAAGAAGGAGAAAATACAAAGGGTTAACATTTTAGAAGGAAAATTACATGATTTGTTGTTACTTAAAATGTGTAAGTCTATTGTATCTTCAGCTGCCCCAGGGCTGATGAGTCGAAGAACACGAGCAATCAGAAAAAGAAGCATTCCAACAATTTATCAAGGTCCCCATGGAGTGAAGCTCTGCCATTCATCATGTCAGCCACTCCCCCTAATTGACATTGCATTCTGTCATCATCCATGTCATTAATAGAGGTCTTGAACAATATAGGCCACAGTACTGACCCTAGGGGTACTACACTCATTATGAACCAGCAGCTGACTGTCAAGCTGGCGATTGCTATCCTTTGAGACTAATGGTCCAGCCAAGTTTCTAACCCACGCAACAGTCTGTTATCAAGCCCATGCTTCCTTAGCTTCCAAACAGGAATATTACAATAAATAGTGACAAAAACTTTACTAAATCATGGTACATCCACTTCTCCCCTATCATCTGCACAACCAGTCATTTCCTTGTAAGAGGCAACCAGGTTAGTCAATCACAATTTGCCCTTGGTGAGTCCATTTGACTGCTCCTGACTAATTTCTTGACCATCATGTGCTTGGAAATGGACTGCAAGAGAATGTGCAATCCACGGACTGCACGGACTACAAGAGGATATGCTCCATGATCCTACCAGGCATTGAGGTGAGGGTGCCCTTCCTACTGCTCCATATATCTTGTTTCTAGCATTTTTTAAAGAAGGGAATAATCCAGCTTTTTTTTTCAGCCTTAGGGACATCTCCTGATCACGAGGAATTTTCAGAGGACAGACCACAGCCTCAAAACCACATTGGCCAACTCTTTCATCAGCCTGTGTGAATTTAATCTGGTTATATGGATCTGAATACAACCAGCTACTGTTAAGTAGTCTACAGCCCCTTGCTCTCTCATGAGCTGCCCATCTCCCTTTCAAACCTTATCAGTATATGCTGGTTTGGGAGCAGGTTTTGCCTGAGAAGAGGCAAAAAAGTGTTGAGCACTTCAGCCTTTTCTGCACTGCCTGCCACTAGTTGATTCCCTCCATCTGCTAATGTACCTGTATTTTCCCTGAACTTCCTTGTGCATCTAGCATAGTGTGGTACCCCTTCTTGTGACCTTATACATCCCCTGCTAGTCTTAGCTCCACCTGGGCTTTGGCCTTCCTAATTTTTTGCTAAGTACCCTCACAGTGCCTTGATATTTCTCTTTTGTTACCTCTCCTTGTTTCCACCTCTTTGATGTGTAGTCCAGGGAATATGATATTACTACCACTGCAAATAACAGGCCACAAGGCTTTATATTAACTCAACAGTGCGATGCTTCAGGAGTTGAGACACCTTGTTTAGACTTGGCTTGAGCTTGTTTTAGCTGTAACAGTAAATTGCCCAGCTGCCCAATTGACAGCTATTGCCTAATTTGTTTTTAGCTTCAGCTTAGTTTTGTGCAATTTTGCGGCTTTACCTGAAAGAAATCATACCATCTATAGTAAAGACCTAACAGAATTAAGGGGTCACTGTGGAGCTACATATACGGGGGGATCAATAGGAGAGCAAGTGTAGCAACAAACCTTTTGGAAACATATAAAAAATAACCCCAACCAGATCCAAGACTGAGAAGGATTCTTCTTTTTCTTGCTAAACATTAAATCCCAAGAACCATATCTCAGTCAATTACTGTTGAACCCAGTGGAGGCTGAAATTCTCTTCCAGCAAGAACAGAGAAACAGTAAGTCGTCATTTAGTTAAAAAGAATAAATCATAAAGAGGTAACACAAAAGGATTTGGTATTAACCAAACTAAAGATTCAAATCCACCATTTGTAAGCTAAGAAAAATCTTTTTAATGTCTGTGTTTGTCCTGATAGGTAGAAGGGTTTCCCTGAAAAACATATAGCAAAATAACAGTTTTTTCCCCTCAGATCCCAAAATGTTTTGCACATGTATGAGTCTAATCTGCATTTCATATTTGAAATTCAAAGATATAGGGAGATATCTCCTGTTATGACTTAGAAAAGTAGCCCATCACAAGAATTTAGTTTGCATTACTCTTCTGTATATTGGGTGACTTCAACCTGTCTTTAAATAGTCTATTTACCAAATAACTTTAGCAATCAAACGCACTCCATTTATCAGATAACTAAAGCAATCAAACACACTAAAAGATCTTATATACGAACACCAACATGATGACACAATTAATTAGTAATCTCTATAAATTAAAAAAACAGGAACTATTCAGCATCTTCAAAAAAGGATATTTTTACAGACTACAAGATTTGTTAACTGTGGTTTAGATCACTAGTAAAAGTAACCTAAATGGAAGTTTCAGGCAGGCTAGACAAATAAGGTCCTGAGTTCACCCATGGAATCATTCTGTCAGATGCTTGACATTTTAGGCCAATCTGGAAGAAAAACTCAGCATGAGTTTAAAATCAATCATCTGTTCTGCCCCACAGCTATAAACATTTTTTTCCCCTGCAGAAGTTTTGAGGAAATTCAATGGTTATGAAAACAATACCAATGGAAATATCATGAGTTATCCATCTGGAAAACTTGCAGTGCATTGCCAAGATAACTCAATTCAGGTTTATAGCACCATATTCACCTATTTTTGAACAGTTTGATGAAAAGACCAATCAATTACAAAGCCATATGCTGAACTGTATATACTGGCTTTGATTTGACCGACAACAAAGACAAATTACTGCTTTAAGTTTAACAATCTTCTTAAAAAAATGAGTCAACACTTTTAAGATAGTTAAACTTTTCTGTTCTCTTTTAGCTGGAATTTTCCCCATTCCCTTCTAGCTCTCATTCTAGCTGAAAGTCAATTTAATTTTCCTCAACCAAATCTATTCCGAATGATGTTTCAAAAAGTTAAATACCAATTCTCAGGACACCCCTGAGAAGTTTTTGTTCTCAGAATCAAAGTTGAAATAAAAATGTTTACTGAGGTAAGCAGTGTAAGAGGCTATCAGATATCTGTGATTACCATTACAAGGAGACCTTATATTGTGGTGACCTCCCACAAGAATTCACTGCACTAGCAGACTGGAGAACTGCTCTACAATTTTCTGACATACCTGTGACGTAGTTCAAGTTTTGCAATTTTGTGTATTTTTAATTCATATTTCAGAAGCCATAGTTTATTCAAAAGCAGGAGTTCATTACAGCCAATAGACATGAATCAACACTTTTAAAAGACACATTTCTTCACTAATTCTATACACCACAAACCCTAAATCACAGTATGACAGGGTAAACCTGGCTTAAAACTTACTTTTGCACAGGTTTGATTTTGCTGATGACTTTTACATCCTTGCCGCATCCATGGCAGGTCAGTATCCGGTGCTGCCGAAAGCTATATCTTGAATTTTTGCTATACTCAGGTGCCAGGAATGCTTTAGTGCTTCTTTACTGATGCTATATGTTATGCTAGGTGGAGTTTCAGAGAGCTTTCTAAAGCTGTTTCACTGAAAGTGAAATTTACACTGTTTCACTGAGTAAATTTCAGTCACTAAGCAGAATTTGGGACTTTGAACTTGACTTCCACATCATTTGGGAAATCTTAATATGCACAGTGATTTGCAGATCTTTAATATTTCTGTATTTTACAGTATTTTTAAAGTATGTTTGAAAATATTGCTGAAATATTGAGGGACAAAAACAAAACTCCAAGCTATTTGGCTTAGATATGTGTCTCCCAAAATACATTTCAGGAGTCTGCTATTGCCTAAAGGCTACAGTACAGTCCACAATCACAAACCAGCTCCCTGTATTCATGAGGCTGGTATGACCTAACTGGTGTATAGTGTACAGGTTTGCGGTATTTCTCAACTCCCACAGCACAGCCTCTGGAGATTTCCAGGCTGATACACAATGTCTTTGTTGTCAATATATGGAATAAGGCAAATATAATCATATAACTATCTCGTTCACACTTTTAACGCCACCCAAGGCACTTACATTCCTCCAAAAATATAAAATACTGTACCTGTTAGCTCCACATCTACCAATACATTTTCAGGAGTTGGATTTTTGAAGGATATGATGACAGAAGAATGCCGATCAATGCATGCACTTATGCTAGTTGCTTCCATCAGTTGAGGAAGAAGACCATTCCCAGAAAGGTAAAATATCCACTCCTTCAGCTGCAGATAAAAATTGTGTCATTATATATTATTTGACTAGTTACACATGTACATTTTAGGGCAAACGACCTACTTCCTTCTTTCTAGCGTGCTCCATTTTCTGTTGCATATGAAGTGCTGTTTAACACTTCCTTTCTTTCTTTCTTCTTCTCTCAAGCTACTACATTACCAGAATTGCTATCTACAAACCAACAGTCTCACAGTGCCAGGCTTTTTATATGGGAGTTTGGGAGATATTCAGAGCTCCTCATTGCATTTAATTTTGGTGCTACTCAGAGCATCTGTGTAGCTGTTCAGAGCTGCCAGTGTAGTGAATGAACAGATGTGGGTGTCTGCAAGAAGGCTATTGAAAGAACATATACTAAAACCTGCAAACAGATGAATGAGAAGTCTTCTTCAGAAAACCAAGGCAAAAAATTCTTTGAGGGAAAGCAATAGAATCACTAAAAAGCTAAAATTATTGCTCTAAATATAAGAAAAAACCTCTAGGAGAAAAACATATGCAGAAGAATCAAGAGCACTGGAAAGAACTAGTGGATATAGAGTATCACCATACCGTGGAGGGAGGCGGGGGGAAATACAGGTAATTAAGCTAAATGTGTTAATGTTGATCAATTTTTCACCGTGACAGCAAAGAGTTGCCTGCCCCAGATTTAATCTTTTAAGATAATTTTAAGAGTGATGTTAATAATGCAATTCATTATGGAAGTTTTAAAGGTGAATAAGCAGAAAAGGTGAACAGCAAATGTAAAGGTACCACCATTGTAAAGAAAATGTTTAATGATACATATATTCACATTGCTGGCTTTAAATTAAATAATAAACATACAGACTAAAATCTGAGGTCATTAGGAACTGCTCAAAATGAACCTTGCTCACCTTTTTTCACTATAACTCAAGACATATGCACCATAAGGAGAATAAAAATTAATAAATAAAAGCTGAAACAATATTGCCATTATTTGCAATACTAGATTTAATTCTGAGTAACCTGTCTGCAAAAAAATAAGGAAAATCTGTTACAGAGAGGGTTCAACATCTAACAACAAATCTGGAAATACTGACTGTTAAACGTGACTAAAGCATTGAGGCTTGTAAGTAAAAAAAGGAAGAAATAAAATGGGACATCCTAAGTCTTCATAAAATAGCTTTGGATGGCAAAATTGCATGCCTTTATCATCATTTTATAGAGAAACATTCAATGTAACAAAAAAAAAAAGCATTTTAATCTTGCTGAAGGAAATTTGTTGGTAAAAGTCATCCAAGGCTACAGGATTTTAATGGAATCTTAAAGAGAAGGAAGAAATGTTTCTATACTGATGCAGTGACTACCCGATGTTAAAAGCTAGAATACAAAAATACAGCCTAAGTTTTGTTTAGACAGCAAAATAAATCTCCTTCGCTGTGGGGAGTTCTCCATTACTCAAACTAACAAAAATTAAAAAGCGTTTCCCTTTATAAATTACATTTTATTTGGTTGTTGACTTAAATGTAACATGCATCCGGTTCATGGCACTGATTGATACACGAGCAGGAAGCTAGTACACTGCTCAGACTAAGTGGAAGCCAAACGCTGCTGCTGTGCAAGACTTTGTAACAGCACAGGACTAACTCTTCAGTGAAGCACCTTTGCCAGTCACGGTCAACAAGACACTGACCAACAGTTGCCAAACCAGCACGCCCTAGCATTTGTGTACGTGGCTCATTCCCTTCCTTACTACATCTGCCTCAAGTAGTTAATTAATTATATACAAAAGGCTGACCACGCTGTCCAGGCTCCTTTTAAGGTACTGGAATGCAGGCGTTAGGATACCCGAAGACTACGTTTCCAGAAAGCTAGATGTGTCCCACTATGAACGGTCTACTCTGACTTGTTAATTGTACTTTGTGCCAGCTTACAAACAACAGTAACAGTAATCAAACAAAATGAACTTGCAAAATCCTTAATATAGTAGTTACAAGGAAATGAGCAGTTAAAAAGCATTCAAACAAAATTAGAGATCAGCTTGGAAAATACAACAAGAGAAACAAGAAATCCTGTAGATTGTAAGGCAGGCCTGCCTTGTCTCTGAACTGCAGTTACTCTGTTCTCTGTGGACCCACTGCAGGATTCAACTGAACACCACGTACACTCAGGGCAAGAAATCAAGAGGAAAAGAAGATTAAAAAACAACAAAACCCTAAAGCAAATAATATGAGACAGAATCTAATATAAGGCCCAGGTTCTCTCCAACATTACTTAGTACTGTTAAACTCACTCCATAACACTGGGATGCTGCTGATATGGTAGGAGAATAAGACAATAGAAACATACTAGAACTCTGGATGTGGGTTATGTTCAAGCGGACATTTCAGTTGTGCTGTCCCAATAAAGTTAATCTCAGATTTCACAAACCATAGTAAAGTGATCAGAGCTAAACTCAGATGCTCCGTGTGAAGAGCTCTTTGTGCAGCTTCAAACCAGAAACAAATGAAGCATAGAGCACTTTTTTTCAGTTCATCAGAGCACAATCCGAAACAGTTAAGACTTATCCTATAAGTACTGTTTTAGGTTAGTCAGCTATCAGATGGCTTAAAGTGTCTGTTCAGATACATACAATCAGAAAAATCAAGGGAGGGAAGTCAGTGATTTTTTTTTTTAGGTTAAAAGTTGCTTGAGGCTTCCACCACTGGGGAGAAACACTCTTCAAGCCTTCATCATAAAGGGCTGTTATGTTATGTCTGTGCAAATATTCACTATCAGTTAGCAGTATAACAGTTAGCACATTGAAGTAGTCTGAGATGAATTTATTGAGTATTGTAACAGTAAAAATGAATGGAAATTCACAAAATTCAAAAGATCCAGGCATAAAAAGGGGCATCGAAAAATTACAAGGATTACATCAATATATTGAAAAGATTCAAGTAATCTGGACAGAGCAACTAGAAGGATGGGATAGCGACTAAAGTTCACTACAGATGAAAACTTGGAGATCTGCCATTACATGTCAAGAGACGCCCTGGATGACAAATTTCAGATGCCAGGGCTCAATTTGTTCCTGAAAGATTTACAGGAATGATTTAGTTGTTTTATTGCTTCTGTATTTGATGAAGAATTATTTATTTAATTCATAGATATGACTTCTGTTTATTATTAGAATTCAGACAAGACAATGGCAATGACTCCTGAACTGGCCTTGGACATATATTATTCATATCAGAATTGCTGGCTCCTTGTCTTTATCCTTAATAAATATTTAAGAGGAGGGATCCTGAAAATACATGCTGTGCTAAAACTGCCTACCAATAATCTGTCTGTTAGACATACATTATCAAGAAAAAAATTGTGACATCACTTCCTTAAATAATTTTTTTCTTTATATAAAAGAACATTTGCTTTGGTAACATTACTCAGAAAGTTACTGAACGCTTTTTGTCGCATTTCAGTAGTAACTCATAGGCCAGCAGTCCATTAGGATATCTGGCAGTCCAACAAGAACAAAGAGAGGAAACTGCATAGAAATAGAATACATCCTTCAACCACAGCTCATATAATGAAATAATGACATTTACATCATTTTACCAGTTTTTCTTTTTCTGCCCGCTTAGAATTTTTAGTCAACTAGCAGGTCATGTTGATGAATCATGTTTCTTAATTTAGTGTTTCTCATTAAAAAGTAGGAAAATTTAAAGAAAAAAGTCAAAAATCCTAAAATGCTCAAAGTAAAAACCATTTTCAATACCAAAATCAATAAATATTAATTACTTGTTCTAGCTCCTACTCAATATTATTTTCTTTTAATACTGTAAATAAAATAAATCATAGGCAAAGCTAAGGATTTAACAAATTATAACTTATGAATATCTTTGCATTTGCTCTTTTGTTATGGATCCAGCAATTAAATTTCAACTTGTCCTTCAGACTGAAAGTCTTACTTACATGCTGGTTAAAAATATTATCTCATCTGCATTGTAAGTGTTTTGGACAGCAAATAAAACATCATACCTGTGAACATTTGAAGGTTATTGATGCCTTATGATTGCCTCTTCCAAGGGCAGATGGACAGAATTTCACGGGTACTTCTGTGGTGGAATGAGGAGCTACAACCAGCTGTACAAATAAAAAAGCAAAGCAAAGGGAGGACTGAATCAATTTTTTTGAGTCAGATTCTTTTTTGTGCGTGTATCGACAGCATTGACATTTATGTGATTAATATGTTCCACCAGATGCATTCTCTACTTGCAGCGTGCACGGGCCGCTAAGGCAGCAAGGGTATTGCAGTAAACAGTTTTAGAGGCAGTCACAGCACGTTCGCTCCCCAGAAACGACTGACCTAGTGTTAGTGACCGCTGCAAGGAGATGGACAGTGGCTCTCACAAATAGCAGTGGAACATGGCTTTTGTGTCTGATCATACTGACGATACCAAAAGGTTATCACATTGACCTCAAAAGAAATAAATTGACTTAGAGGGGAGATAAATAGTAGGTTTTAATAAACTAGTGTTTATTTCTCCTTCTCTTTACCTTTCTATAAACTAACACTGTAAATGATTCTGCCAGAGTTTTCTTGTGAAGTGCATTACTTGTTGAGTAATAGTTGCACAGGGAAAAACATAGTAGCTGACTTCACTGGGGTCATGAAGAACTAGATGAGCAGTGAAAGAGAAGACTTCTGAATAATACAAATGCCTACGAACAATCAGCTAGAATCACTGAATTCACAATCTCTGTGTCTGTTGCTTTCATAAATAATAGGCTTTTAATATCATACCTATGTTTAAACATGTTTCCACGTATGAAGATATGAATAAAATTGATTGGAAAAATGGACGCTCCTGCTGTATTTTACAAAATGTTATACAAAATATAACAAATAACTAAACGTTCAAAACATCACCTTACAACTGCTGGCACTGACAAGTTCCTTTATAAAGGGAATGTCAGCTCTGGAAGAATGGGCTGCTAAGAGGCAGGGAACAAGAGTTATTAAAGCATCCATTGCTGTTTACTATGTGTAATGGTTGCACCAGCCTAGGGTGCACCAGCAGCCTCTGCAGCCTCTTCCTCCTGCTGTTTGGCTACCCGTGCCCAAGGCCAGCTCCAGTGTGGGCTCGGCTCAGGGCTCCCAAAGGCCAGAGCTAACTGGCGGGCCTGCTCGGGGCAGGTCCTCCCCTCAGGTGGGTGACAACTTGAAAGCACATTTCCTACCAGCAGGCAACTGTCACAGTCTCATGCCTGTCACCTTTGCAAATCTTCTCTACTACCCAGAATAACTGGCCTGAAGGAAAGTTACCTCCCACAAACCATCCTCATTCCCGTCTGCTTAATTATGGGAAGGCATAAGCATCCTGGGTTCATTTAGCTGTTCATCATCTGAAAAAAAGCCTGAATAGCTCATTTCTCTTAGTAAGTTGTTGAACAACACACTCAGCCATTAACAAACTAATACAGCTTACACATAGTGATTTTGAGACTGCACTCTCTTCTGCCAACCCTTCTTTATTAAGTTATTTTTCCTCAATAAAAACTATGTTTCATAGCTGATTAGGATGGAAGACTATTTTCAAGAGCTTCATGAAAAAGTCTGGTTATAAGCGGGGAGAGCAACAAGCTGAAGACAAAGTGAAAGCATGCTTATTTTTAGCGATTCTTAGCAATAGAGAGGGTCCCATAAATTCTTTTGTTTTTTATACATGTAGGTTGCATCATAAATATGGTTGTAGAAATATAACATACATAAATATAAAATGTGTGTGCACGTATTTATACATTAAGAGGGAGAGAAGTAAGTTGGGGAACAAAGCATAACTGATGATTAATTGAGAATATTCATCTGTTAAATGCTGGAAATTAACCCTTCTCTACTAGAGACAGCCTTAATTTAAAAAAAAAAAAAAAATTCCAACCCGTCCCCCAGAAACAGGTAATCCTCAACAAACGAATCAAAAACAATTGAGAAATTTTGTAGCAGCTCTACAAGAGTTCACTTTTATGTCAACAAGTAGAGAATTCAGCATCATCTTTAAAGACGTATTAGTTAACAAGTACAATGTAATATTGACAAGAAAGGAAAAAAAAATTAGGTATAGCTCATTTTAAGAAAAATTGAAGATATGAAAATCCAAATCACTTCAAGGCCTAAATTAATTTTCCTTGATAACTTTTATCAAGTTTTTGAAAGAAAACCAAGATGCTCTATCTCCTTGTAGGTTGTTTTAGGCTATAATTACAAAGCTGCTAACAAGATGCATCTCATTTTTTCACTTTCATCAGTTTACAAAGAACTTAATGGAGATGATTGCAAATTACATGAAGCTGATAAGAGAATTAACACCTTCCAATTTCATTCAAAGCACCTAGAAGTCTAGGAATAGCTGAGAGTTATTCTTCTGGAGCTCAGGAAAGCCTATTATTAATGATGTCAGTACTTGAAATTTAATCAAAATAATCCGTAATCCGTTATCATATATCAGAAACTAGAAAGGCAAAGACGCACAGTAATTGTGATAAATGCTATTCAAGTTTGTTTAAATTTTGAAATGTTAGTCAGAATTTTGGTTAATATTTTAGGCAATTAATCTCTAGGAAGGATAACTTTCTCTTAAATCATCTCTCTTGCATCTGGTTTATCTAACATAGGTTAGAGATTGAAAATATCCTCAAGGTGATTGCCTGACTGATAGCTGAATATTTTCAACAGTTCTACATATATAACAATAATGTAGAATTATATGAAATATTTAAACTTACTGATTCAGAATATTTGGAATTTTAAAGTGATTCTCTTCAAACATTACCCATCTTTATTGGGCAATCTCAGCTTTGATTTAGTGCTCTAATCATTTACTTTTTATTGCTGAATTTAGCTGTTCTTTCATCTGAGAATCCCTCAGACTAGCTTAGCCTTAGATTTTTCCTGTTGACAAGAAAGTATATTTTCTTTACAGAGAGAAGGAAGCATGAATAAGTAAGACAGGAAACTTCTTCAGCATATCGCAGAGAGGTTGAAGCAGGATCACAAGTAAAAAGATCTGGGCAGTATAATCTATGCATGAATGTAAACTGCTATCTGAAACACAGTTCATAAGAAAGCTGTAATCTTCTGAAAGTTCAATGCAGCGCTGTATGGAGGGATTCAACCTAGGACGCAACACAGTCAGAGGAAAAAGAAAGTATTTAAACCCCATACCCTGCCTTTGGGAAAGAGACCACATTAGTTCTCCAAACATAGGTCCACAATGGGAGAAAATGAGTTGAAAAGGGGATAGATACACACAGAGAGGCTGTATTATAACAAAATGAAATAGCTGATAGTTGTTTATAGCAAATTCTCCAAAACTGTCCTTTAACTGGAAGAGAGAACTATTATAATTCACAAAGAACATTTCAGAATTTAATGCCTAAACTATACTTAGAACTGAATATTCTATTAGGAAGAATAGAAAGAAACAAAATTGCTGAAGACAATGTTGAATGTGTCTTTTTCTAAACAATGAAATGTAATTATTGTTGATGTGTGAATCTCTGGTAACAACTTAGGAAAGCTGAAAGGAAAAGAGATCTATAGGAGTCAAAAGTCATGATAATTAAATCTAATTCACTTCTGTGCCAACAACCTAAATATAATAGGTATAAACGTCCCAGATGATCAGTATAGTTTTGATCTACTATATTTCTTAGCTCCTTCTTCAAATATCAATTGATGAAATGACTAGTAACAGCGCCTGTCAAGTTTTAGTGTAATGTATGAAGATGTGCTAATATGCCTAAAAGATAAAAGATATAAACACTTCATGTTTTATACTTTCAGTTTGACATAATGTTATGCAAAATATCAGGCAATTCATTAAATAAGTATGATTCTCTTTGTTGGTGTTCTTAATATCACCTTTAAGAACATTTGGCCTTGTTGCACTAGCATACTTTACTGAAAGCTGTTTAGTTTTGAAGGCCACAAACGCACATATTACAACCTTAATAGCTTACTTATATTTTCGCCATTCAACCTACGTGCTACCTTCTCAGCTCTGTTTTATGGTCATATTACAACATTTCTCTCCGCTCTGTCTGGAGAGGACAACATTCCCTACAACATTCTCTTCTCTCGCCTTATACCGTTTGCACACATAAATCAGCTCTGGTTTATGCATCCCCAGTATCATCTGTTCTACTTTGGAAGATGTAGTTTTCCATTGACCAGTTCTTTGATCTGTTCAAATTTCAAGGAAGTCTGAAACTGGCTCTGTGAAACAAAGGAAAGAAACCATGTCCCTCACCCTTTCTCCAAAATATTTCATCAAAATAGTTATTCCCCAGTGCAAACAGTAATTCCACATACACAGTAAACAGGTTAAACACAGTAATCAGTGGTCCATAATGAATGTTTTAACTTTAAGGCTCTGATTGCCTAGAAGTCTTACCACTCTCAATGAAAATGTGGAAGCTGACTCCCTCTATACAAATCTCAGCCCTGGAAATGACCAAAATGTCACAATAAGGTGAAAATAAGGTGGAAGGGCTTTTGTGATGGAGGAGAAAAAAGTAATGTAGTACATCATAATACTAACAACAAGCTGAAAATTTTCTTAGTAGAAAAAGGTCTCTAGGTAAACATGAGTTTAGAGAATAAAATGTTTCCAGGTATTTGCTTAAGGCTTCCTTGAGAGTAAATTGATAAAATCCTTACCTGCAGGCCGTGCAAGTTCGCTATAACTGCCATGACTCAGGTATTCTCATATGCCTTATCTTACACTAGCATTTTATCAACCTACCTAAATACTTACCCGGCTATCCTGTTGATTCTTAAAATCTCCAGAAGGTTCTAACCCAACTGGTTTATGTACAATACCTACTTCTAATTCCTCCTAAATAATATTTGCAATGAATATCGTAGTCCTTTTCAAAACCATTCCACAAAACATTCCAGGAAAGAATATCTATACTGTAGCTGATGTTTTTTTTCATATTGAATCTTTTTTGTCCTTAAGCTACAAAATCTCTAGAATATCTATCTGCACGTGCCTTTAACCCTTGATACTATATTGTATGCCCTGAATTCACTATATAATACAAAATTTACTTCAATACATTTTGAAGAAAAAGCTCTCTTGTATCACTTTGTGGAGGTACAGAAATATATATATATATTTTTTTTCTAATCTACTTACAGGCTGTTTTGGATCAGTCTCAGCTGAAAAATTGCTAGGATTGCTGTTAACAATATCCAGTTCCAGGGTTTCACATGTAGGATTAAACAGAGGTATGTATAGACGAACCCATCTGGAAAAAAATAAATGTATGTATATTCAATGACTATAAATTACATAGCTTCTTCCCTTATAGTCCATTATTAATCACTTATTTTATTTTTTGAAAAAGGAATATTTTTGAAAATAAGAATTATATTTTATTGCATTTACCACTTTACCACTAGCATGGGCACATATTTAATAGCATTAATTATTAATAACTGAAAATCAGTTTAATTTTGTACAATTGTTGCATTGCTCATTACAGCATGACAAATCATTATATTGCATGCATAGATTCTATATTTTAATGAGTATTGTGGGCTGTCCTAGAACAAAACCTGCAGTATGCTCATTGTGTTAATGTTATACTTTGAATCAGTTGACACTGTATATTACAGGTTGTCCTTCTTTATACTCTGATTAATATTAATAAACAAACACAAAATGCCTTCAATAGGGGACACAATTTTCCAAAGAGGTCAGAAGACTCTCCAAGATTCCTCTGTTCTGATCAAAATAATATATTATTTGCCTCTAACAAAGACATATGACCATAAATCACATTCTGGTTATCACACCAGGGGACACACAGAAAAGATTCAAGGTGAATCAGTGAAAATAATAAATAATAAAAATTTGAAAAATGAGATAAATATATTGGTTTTGCAGTAATTTATCTACCTAATGGATATCCTCTCTAGTTCAAGCTACGGCAGGTCAACTGCCAGACTGCTCCATGTGCTTATCCTCTGGGATAAATGAGTCAGTTTATCACACCCAAATCAGTAAGGAATAAAAATATAAAAAGCAACTTTAAGAAGAGAAGGCATTTCAGTCAAGTGTTATGACTGTGAGTTTACGTCCTAACTTTTTGTGTTCAAGTGGGCTGCTTCCGAAATAGTGACATAGCGGCAGTTTCAGTGAGATTCTTTACAATTTTACCATATAAATCCCAGCAGCTGAGTGGCAGATTTTTTTTTTTTTGACTAACACTTTCAAAGCATTTTATCAATGAAGCTCAACAGCAGAGAGTACAGCAGTAGTGGGAAACCTTCACAGAAGAACTCCACATTCACTTGACAATACCCACTCTTCCCATTTGATCATCATCTCTAGCCTTTAGTTCTTTGTCTAGCCTTCTTTATACATGCCTCTTCATTTGCCAAAGGAAAGTTATGTCAGAATGTCTTCAATTTCTGTAAGCAACCTATCTGACTGCTGTAGGTTCTTCAGGTGACCAAAACCCATTAAGAGCTGCTGCCACCCCACACAGATTGACTGCACTTTCTGTAGTGGTTGTGCTAAAAAAAGATGTTGCACGTTACAGTAAAATCAAGGCCACTGAGAACATAATTTGACTGACTGGCAACTTCAATGACTCCTCTCTGCAGATCATAACAGGATGGATGAGTGAAGATGGCAGAGAATATCAGGCAGAAGATTTCCTTTCTTAACAGCATACACTAAAGAACTTACGCTAAATCTAACCTGACAGAACCAAATATCAGATCTGAATGCAATAAACTCAAAATTTCAGGTTGCCTGAAGGAGGATTAAAAGATAAACTGCTAGAATTTGTTCCTTGCTTCTTCCAGAATTGCTCAGAAATTGATATTAAAGGTCATAGTTCCTGGCTCCTAATCCAGTTCCAAGTGATATCAAGGATACTAATTCTTAACTTTTTCAAACTGATAGCAAAGAATGCAGTGAGTACACAATCAAAAAATATTATATTTAGAAGGACATTACATATGATAATCCTTCTTCAACGTTCCAGAAAAAGGTGGTGGAACAGAAGTTAATCTTTGAAAGAACTTGAAAGCTTTACCAGCCAGAAGGGCTTCAAATATTTTATATTTGCAGTCCAGTTCTCTAGGAAGGTGGCAAAAGTACACCCATTCAGAAAAAAAAACAAGCTAAATTAAACCAGCCAAACAAATGGGTAACTTTTCAAACAGTAAATAGAGTATCTAGTTTCTTTTAAACTAAGTGTACTTCAAGTCTCAACCTATGCTTAATGCAGCTAATTTATTCAGATTATCTCATCACCTCCTAGTTTACTCTTCATTATATTTTCAGCAGGTAGAGTAATTCTCAGTAATTTGACTATAACATCAACACCATTGTCCAAAATTTGCCTCCACAGAAAATCCACATACTTGTTGCTTGGGGGTCCTGAGTCTGGCAGGTTAGTGTTCTGCTCCTGGCAGTGGACAAAAACATTTTCCTTTCCTCAGGATTGCAAACAGAGATGCAGAAGAGTTCAGGAACGTAACTATATTCCAATTAGTTACAGCTGTTGATTTTCTACAGTGAGCAAGGTATTGTTTACTCTTCCTATTATTTCCTATTCTATTTCTCATTTTGCTCCAGGCTGTTCCTCTCTTCACCTATTTGTTTTCCCATAATGTGTTATAATAATAAAAAACCCAAAATCCCACAAAAGCCCTTTGCTGTCTGACATCCTGACACCTCTTGCTGTTTCATATAGGATTGTAATATAAACACCCACTCCTTATTCTCATTAGAGAGTCTCACTCAGGAAAAAGACACAGTAAAAGTTTACTAAATTCTGAAAATATGAGTGTTAAAGAAAAAAAGCAATGATGTTATGCAAGTCAGTCATATTCTCCAAACTACCAGCAACATTTCAAAAGGACTGAACACATTTATGACACATTTTTAAGAGTAAAAATCACTGTAAAAGGATCCATGAAACTGAAAAACGCATCACTAGCCGATTAGTTATGACGATTAAAACTGAAAATACAAGTCCTTTTCAAATATCAGAAAGCATTTAGAAGTGTCCAGTGTACAGACTATGCATATGTTCTGTTATATTATGCCCTCTCCACTTTACTCACGGATATAATTCATTTTAACAAATAACCATTTTAGGTCTTGATAGATTTTAGTGATTAACACTGTTTTAATTTTCTCCATCCATTTATAAAGTATTTTATATACCCTGAAGATTAAAATATATAAATTTCTACAGCATCTTTTTTCTAACTGCTGAATTAAAACAGCATGGCAGTGAGCTGTTTACAATAAAAATATGTCTTGCACTAAATGGCTGTGTGTTTGCAAATTACTTAAACACAGTTTAAAACTAGGATATTAAGGGTTTTTTTCACTTATTGCAATATGGTCTTAAAACAGGCTAAAGACAACTGCTTTTTAAAGCATCTGGGTCTAGAAAACACTTTAATCAGTTAGTAATCAGAAAAGCATTTCAAATACTTCTTATTATGTCTTATAAAACTTACTAATTCCACAAAGGTAAGGGTTTGGAGGATATGAATAAAATTTTGGACAGCACTTAAAGGAAAGGCCAATATGCAGATGACACAATAGAAAGTTCTAATGAAAGGAAAGTGTTGAAAGCATTAGTTGAACAAAAAGTAGGAAACTAGGATACCAAGAATATGAGTCAGAGGAAGGAAACAGAAAAGAAAGAGGTATGTCAGTTTTTTCTACAATGTTTACATTATATGTATCTATATTCATCTATCTATATGAAAAGATTACCACTAATTTGTTTCCATACATTATTGCTGTTGTTGCTGTCATAAATAATTAAAATAAATAGTATTTCTCCATTCTTCCTCTGCTATCTGCAAAGGGTAGGTGTACATGAGTTAATGTACACACGCAGAGGAATTTGACCAACATACATCTAATTGAAAAGAATTCTCCTTTGAAAAAATAAAATCTGAAATTCAATGAATTTGAGATATATTTTTGACATGCAAGTGCTGTATTTAATGGAGCTAATCATTTCCAACCTACATTTTTATTTGCAGTAAGAAAGGCAGACCACTTCTCAGGCAGTGCATGTAGTTCACATGCAGTGCATTTTAGAGAAAATGCTGAATGTCAAATGGTCTGGATGAAAAGGTTTAAAGTTATTTCTTATATCTAACAGTGTCAGCCTGCATATTAAGAGAAAAATTATGGTTTTTACTCCAGCTGGCACAGAACTTTAAATCAAAAACCAGGAGATGGACAGCCCTACTGATTTTATCTTATTAAAACATAATAACAAAGTCATTGCCAGTTAATCCTGGTCTGTGCATCATATATTAGCATTAGATTAACTGAAAGCTGAAATTTCTATAACTCATCATCTTCATTCAAAATAATTAAAAATACTTAAAATCGCTGGAATACATAATGTTATTAAAATATATGACATAAACACCTTTTTTTATTTCACTCATCTCACATATCTACTCAAAACAATTTAATCAGGTAACATTTTATGTTGTATTCTCTAATAACATTTTTCCCTCAGACTGTAATGTATACTAATTATGAGATTTAGGCAAAAATAAAATAGATAGAAGTGAAATTTAGCATTCAGAAGAGCAATGTGTCCACAGAAACTCCTATAAACAGAGCTAACAGATGGAACACCGCTACCGAAGTTGTGGTATTTTTGAAAATCTTATCCTAAAATTTTCTTTGTTTGTCATGAAAGTCAGGAATGAAAATTATGCTACAGGAATGCAAGGTGAAATTTAATTGAAGGAAAAGAACAAGGGCTCGAGTGGAGGTCATTTCTATGTCTGCTCTAAGAAGCAGTCCATTTTCTCAGCACTTGTAGGATTCCAACCATGCCCACTTCCCAGGATCTGCAGGACAAAAGATGTATTACTTTGTCATTGCTCTGAAGTGAAGTGAAAAAAATTGACACTGGTATTTTTAAAGCAGGTCTGTTGGGTATAACCCTGGTTCAGAAAGAAAGAAAAGATAGAAAGTTAAAAAAATCTATAGGATGATGTATTACGGATATTTGTGAATACATTCTGCAGTATTTTTCAATTTATTTCTTCATAAAGACTTCAGAAAAAGTCTACACACAGACTATAATTCCGTTTGTTCTTCTGCAGGGAGAATTTTACCTATCAACTTACATAGGTATGAAAATTCTCTGCAAAATACCATAATACATATACAGCATAATATTATACATAGACTCTTCTGGCTTTCTGGTATAAACTTTTTTTATGTTTTCCAGGATGCATTGAAACCAGTGACCAAGTTAAGCAATGATATGTTATGTACTTACTTTCCAAGCTCACATTCTATTTCAGGTAGAGTAGTTGGCAATGGTTTCTCTACAATCAACTTCAAAGCGTACCAAAACTCTCCAACCATCTCTGACAGGAATATGACACTAAAGACAGATACGTAAGCTCTATATGACACAGCTTTTGTACAGAGAGTTAAAAACGCAGAATTACAATTAAGGAAAAAAGTAATAAGTTCAACACAATGCATTCTTTAATTAGCTATCAGTTTTCCCATAACAGTTCTTGTTGGTATCTGAATTCAGCTATCAAAGCTAATAATATTGACAATCACTGAAGCAAGAAAGTGTCCTCTTCATCTTTCTTAACTTTTTAGCATAGAAACTATTCTTTTTGCAAAAACAGAATGCCAAAAAACACCATTTCCATTGTTAACTCACAAGATTAAGCTTCACTTTCATTTTAACATCACAATATTTTCTTTCTCATTATTTTGAGCTCAAAAGACAAAATAATAGAAAAAAGCATTCGCTGATTTTAATAAGGAAAACCTTTTCATATCTAGTGACGAAAACTGAGGAATAAATTTATACACATTTATATGAGCATGACAAATAGATATGTTTCAAAGAAATATTCAATATACTCTTTTGATATACAATCAACGTTTGTCATGACTGAAAACTGTTTACAGTGGTAAACTTCTGTGACATTCTAACACATTCCATTCTATTACAGATTTCTTTTTCTAGTTCTTGTTTTTGAGTAGCAGAATCATAATTACAAATTAAAACAAAATACAGTAAACTTATTAAAACTATTTAAATTATATGAAATACATTGGGCAAATCCATGCCTCACTAAGGACCAGCTCTTTTTCTAAATGAGAACAACTATGTCTGCTTCATGACCTTAGGTTCCAGACTACCGTAAAGTAGTACCAATGAACAAGCTATAATGTGTGCATAAACTAGTTCAGGAAAGAATCATCCAGTTCTAAAGGTGCACAACACTTTTGCAGCACCCTTCCTCCCAGCTGCTCCCATAGCAAGGGAAACTGAGCATGGCTACAGAAAAAAGATAATAGCTTAAATGTACCTGGATGTACATCCGTCCAGCTGTAACTGTAGTTCTTGGGAGTTATTGCAATTTAAAGCAGCTACTAGACAGCTTTCTACTATATCAGTATATCAAAGTGCATTGAAGATGCACAGGTGTACTTTATGGCATTTTTGCATACATTACTCCAAAACCCACCCTGTTAATCAGCAGGGATCTCAGCTATATTTTTCCAGCTACAATGAATCTTTATGCTATTATGCACTTAAAAAATACTCTACCAGAAATCTTTTCTGATATGAAAATATGAAGTATGATCTCATTCTGACCTTCAGAATGCATTATTTCTACATCTTTCCTCAGAAAAATATTTACTAGAGTGGTAAGAGTAGTCCTTGCCATAAAGTTGCATCACCTGAAAGCTGTATTGTGCAAGGATACCTGCCATTATTCTGGTTTCAGGAAAAATCAATACAAACAAACTGAACAAAGACTTTGAAAAACATGGATTTGGGCTTTGCAAATTTTGGGTCTCAAAACACAGGTCATGTGCCACTGTTTCCTCGTTTCCTCATCTCCCCATCTCCCCCAAAATCAAAAACAGTTGCCAATCAATTTATATCACTGGCAAATGAGGAACTGTTTTTTCAGTCAGCCCTTCAACTATATAATGCTTTACTAACAAAGTTCCAGGAAAGCAAGCTTTGCTATTCTGCACTCTTCAGTTACTTGCCTAACTGGTTCAGTTAGGGACTACAACCAACAATAGCAACTTTGAAAGTAAGACCAAGAGGTCATCTGTCCTTTCCTTCCTAATTATCATACTGCAAAGTCTCTTTTGGATTTCCAATGAAACATTTTTAACATAAAACCTCTCCATATTCACTAAGTAGATCATTTCTAATTAATGAAATATTCTGAAGCTAAATGAATTTCTGTGAAGATTGTTAAAGGGTTCTTAACTTATTTTTAATGTTGGTGGTGTTATAGTTTAGTTCCTTCTCTGCAGAAAAATGAAATCAGATAATTCCCACTATAGAACTTACAAAACGAACAATTCATCTAAAGATTTGAGAGGGAACTTATAATATTAAGTAAATATCTAACACATTGTTTACTGCATTCTAGTGAGCTAGAATAATTATTGCTTATCAGTAAAGGGTTCTTTTTCCCCCTCAGAGGAAGGCTGCAGTTTGGGGTACAATATATTTAAAGTTAGACATATTTTTAATTCTCTTTATTACCTTTAGTTTTTTTCCTTTTTTTTTTTTAAGGTGATATCTAGATCAAGTGACAAAGAGTTCAACTATAAATACTTTATTAGTACAAGAGTCACAAACATACCTATCAAGATATTGCAACTTACCTTCCATCTGAAGTGCCAACAACAGCTGGAGAAAACTTTATACGATACAGAAGTGTTTGTTTTGGCCTAAGAACAAAAGCTTTTTTTCCACAAAGTGAATGATTCTCTAGCACTGCACTCAGCTGGAGAATTTTATCTGTAGGATTAGTGATGGGAATATCAATTCCAATAGTATCCTGGAAACATAAAATGATTTATGAGCCATTACACGTAAAAAGATCTTTGCTAAAGAAGTACAGGACGATCACACATGATTTGCACTTACGAGAGCACAAGCTGCAACTTAGTTTGTTACGTGAACTAACCCAAAAGAGAGTAGTTGCAGCAAGAGACAATTAAGCCAATTTTCCAATTGTAAATTCTTTATTCCTAAAAATAAGGAAAAATTCAAGTCTTCCTGGCCAGTCTGCACTCTAACAAGTTACTCTGCCTGCCAATCTCTGGCTGAGACCTGCCAATCACTGTCTCGTAGACTGATCTGCTGTAAGTCCTTCAAGCCATCTCTCACCAGCCAAGAAGAGCTAGTTGAAAATATCCATTTTGCAAGCTGGTAGAAAATTACAGGCTGATTTCTGCAAGATTTGTTCCTCTTAATTTTTAATTACACCATAATACTTTGTATTAAAAAAGTAACAGCACTACAATAAACATTCCTTCCCTGGTTCCTTTTTGCCATTTATTTTCCTTAATAGTGGTCTCCTTATCTTTCTGTTCAAAGTCTATCAAAACTTCAGGTGAGAGCCATCTTTCTTTAAATAGCTGCAAAACGTATGGTACTTCCTGGACATTATTAAAGAAGCACATTAAATTCCAATTACCATAACAACAGGGAGCCAAACTATGGCCTGACTAGATAAATAGGCATATTTTATATGTGGAGCACCTTCAAGATGAGCAGCAGCTGAGCAGAGGCACTCACTCCACAGAGCTGCTACGTTCTTCAGCTGCTCTTGAAACACTGCTATTTCTCAGCAGTGTTCAGTGACCCCCTTTATTGCATAGTAGAAAATAGCATAAAACCAATCTTATATACTCTTATGTGTGTAAATTTCAACATACTTTCTGAAACTAAACACTTGCAATCAGATAAGATAGGATATATTATGAAGGAAGTCCACCATAACAACTGAGGATGCATACCTGCTGTTTAAAATACATATGCTCTACTCATATATGTTTATATATATAAAATATGCAAATATATAAATAAATATATAAATAAATGTACTCTTAAACATATAAATATATGTATATAAATATATGTATTCCCTTTTGCTTTCCCACTTCCTTTTCACCTACCCAATTGGTTTCTTTCAAAAGGTAACAAATAAATACTTTTTTAAAGCATGTGTTGATTTGGTTCTCGTGGCCTTTTTTTTTTTTAAGTACAGTTATTGGAATTCAATATGATAGGAGACAAAAATATGTGTGAAAATAAATAATACACTAATAATTCAACTTGAAATACTTTACAACCACCAACAAAGCTGCCTCACTATGCTTTGAGCTTGCCTACTATTTGGTAGATTCCTACACATCTACATTTATGGAAAATGACTACTGGAATATACATTAAAACCTTTAATGTTCTACCAATGGCAAGATTATACTAACAATTTAAATCCTTCAAGCACATTGCATCAGTACATTGGGACTTCATTTTGCAATAAAATATTTTAAACTCAGATTAATAGTTTTTGCTGGTATAAACAAATTTCTAAATCTATTTACCATTTTATTATTAACAACTTCATAATAAGGCACTACAAAATACACACATGCTGTGTTGCATACATTAGCTTCATGTAAAGCAGTGTTTACTTGCCAATATTAAGCCTGGGACTATGCAATTCCATGGAATCCCTCAGGAAATTTCCCTTGAATTACTGTAAACGCTTCAAACAGTTGCTATAGCAAGGATGGTCATGAGAGCAGATGTAGGTGTACCTACAGAATACATCTATCATACAGTTCTAGGCCTTAATAGCTTTGAAATCCTTGTTATGGATGCATAATACTAGGATAAATCACAAAATGCCCATCTAATTTTCAAAAGTATTATTTTTCATGAAAAGACCATTTTTTCAGAAGAGAGTCAAAGAACCAATATCATAGGCAAGTCCTAAACACATTTCCAGTAGTACATTCAGAACCACGTATCAGTATTGCGGTTTTTATAAACATTTTGACAGTAGAAAAATGTAAAAGTTGAAAAAAGAAGAAAATTAATCTTATTCTTTGCCAATTCCACGTATCAGGACAGCCAGTGTCCAGGATAGAGCCATTCTGGTACAATATGTCCTTTTTTTATTCCTTCAGAACTTGTTGTGATTCACTTCTTGTGCACTGGAGGCCAGGTAAAATAATCTAACATAATGTGAAATAAAATAAAATGAAAAGCAAATATGAGATAACATATGTTATGAGATAACAAGTTCTGTGGAACCTGAAAAAAATTGAGTGTTTACACTTTTAGCTACACCAACAGCCCAAGTCCCTGTATCCGTGTAATGCTCTATTACCAACATTTGGCTTCACAGGATGCTCACCAGCATCACTCAGTCTTTTGCAATATTAGCTTTTAGTTGAAATATTTTCCTGACATATTTCATACCAAAGATTTTCTCATCACTCATTTTCTACATCCTTCTTTTAGCAGCTGGACTTAAAGGATTTAATATACAGCACAGCATGTACACAGCATGTACAGTAATATATTTTATATCCTATGAATGCGGATACCACACTAAACTATGAACTAATGCTCCTCTAATCATGACAAGGTAACCTACAGGAAGATGGACACATTCTAGAATTCATATGCATAGTCATCTTCTCTAGGTTTGAACTTCAGTAACGATTGTAGTCTAGTCGTCATCAAGGGTCAATAAAAGTGCTACCTGGCAAAAGTTTGTAAAAGTCTAAGCGTATTTCTTAATGTTTTAGAACAACTGTTTAAATTAAAATTCAGTTCAATTAAGGAAATGACATTAATTCCACATTGTTTGCAGCTATTCCAGTCAATGGACCTTGGGCAAAAAATAATTGCACCTGCTACTGAGTTTGCTATGCTGTCACTATAGCAGGAAATTTTCACAGTCAGGAAAGTGCTATTTTGATAGCCTTTGGGCTAATGTATCAAAAATTCTTCACTTTGTAGGTGTCTGTGGAAATTATCCTTCTTTTAGACTGACAAGTAACAACAACCTTCTTTGTCTTGT